AGTGTGTTGTGTAAACCGCTGTCACACTTTTGTAAAGAGAATGCTTTAACATTTAATCTATTTCTTTATAGTTTTTCTAGAAAACGACGTCACTACGCGTTAGTCTCGAAAATAAAATTCAAAATATTAATTTGTTCGAAGTCATTGAAAAGGTAGAAGAAGAAGATCTGAACAATCAACGTATTTCTACCTACGTCTATCTCATTCTATTTATTCTTACAGTCGTTGAACTCATTCTCTACACATCTCTCATACGAGCGATCAAAATGGCCTTATTGGTTGATGAGTTTGACTCATTATGAAACGTTCCGTTAAGAGTCATTCTCATGGTGACCAATCGATATAGAGCGCCAAAATCGAAGATTGGCAATAAGAGAATCAGAGCTGGATTTCTTTTTATCAAATTTCTTGTGAATAAAAACAGGCTTAATCAGTAGAGAAAAAATATACGTATAGACAAATTGTCACCGATGAATTGTGTTTCTTAAAGAAAATAAACGGGACTATTGAAATGTTCCGATGTATTCACTAAAACTTTGTGCAGTTTTGACTCATTATACATCAATCGATTCATTCATTGTCGAGAAAAAGTGAACGTTGCTTCTCAAAACTCGAAGTGCTATGATAAATGTTCTTGATTAAATATTGTTTGAAAATTTCAATCATGCTTTAAATCTCAAATGAATTAATTACTTTTCGATGACATCATATTAGCCTATAAAATCGAAAAAATTGTTTAATGAATTGTCAAACTGACATAAATAGTATATTTTGCATAGAATGAAAAGTGAAAACTTTTACGCATGTACTTTTAGACAATTTAAGAGCCATTTTCTGACAAAATCAGGCAATTTCAGGCAGGTGACCGCTGCGACCATCATTCACTTGAAACTTTTACCAGATGTAGAACTATATGAAACTAGGAAAAGATAAAAATAAACCTTTTTAAAAATGTTTCCTTCTTGAGATACAGATGTCGTTTGTTTCTATGGGTTTTTGATGAAAAATTCGCTAGAATTGAGCTGTCTCCAAAACGCTGTGATATTTCTTGATGAAATTTTCAAGATAGATATATCTTTAGATGATGTGGTTATTCTAAAAGTTTCCGCAAAAAAATGCAACCGTTCGGAGAAAAATTGGATTTACTAGCAAAACTTGTGAGCCATTTTACGCACGGCACTCACCTGAGTCTCACTTGAAATTTTCAGAATATATAGGGTAAGGTTGAATCTATCAGAAGCCATCGTCAAAACTTGGGGCAAAATTAGAACAGAACAGAAACATAGAGCATGTAATTCTCTACATGAGCTGTCGCTTGACCATGTACAATGTTTTCTTCTTGAAAGATGAATTCTGTAATGCTACATCTCTTTTGTTCATAGGTTTGCTGGAAACAAAAATATCGAAATCATCTCTTGTTCTTCGAAACACTATATTGTCATAACAAAACATCGTAAACAGTCAGGAGACATCTCATTTTATAGAGAATTTCAGGCTCTGTCTTTCTAAACCTGTTTCAAAATCGTTAGAAGAACAGGTTTTCTGGCGATTCTCCTGGAAAACCAAGTCTTTGGAAAACTACCTAACAAAATTTTGCCCCAAATTTGGACAATGATTTCTGATAGTACTAACCTTACTCGATATGTCATGAATGTTGCAGGTCCTAATCCCGAGCGCGTCGAGAAAAGGCTAGATCACAAGTTTTACATGGAAAATTCAGTTTTCTCATCAACGGTCGAATATTTGTCGATGAAATTTTAATAGTAAATAGTCCAGGTAAAGGTACATCTTTCCTGAAAATTTCATTGAAAAATATTGCATCATTCTGGAGACATTCTGATTTTGGTGAAATTTTTAGGTAAAAACCTCATCCTTAGGCTACATCTATGTCTTGGAAAGTAAGCATGTTAGACACGTTTTATTTTAACTTGTTACTAGTTGCATATAGGTCTGCAACTGGTGAAAATTTCACGCAAATTGGTGATAGTCACAGCGCTGAGCTGCATGACTCTCTCAGATTATGGCTCTTAATTCAAAAGTAAAAACATCTGTTGTACGATGTAAGTTGGTGATTTCAATATCATTATACGTTTCAATTGGATTTATGTTTCGCTTGTTATATGTTGTTTAATTTTTATTTCTTTTCTTCACAATGGTCAGTGATTACATTTTACTATTACCAACGAAGTAGTAATTTAAAACGTTCTGCATAATTTCTTTGACAACATATTGACTACAAGCTAAAATATCTTCGATGAGTGTGAAGTATGATGATGTTTAATAATTTGTTCTAGTTGGCAAAAAAAGACCTCTGTATCATCTGTCGTGTCGTCACTTTTAAACAAATTTTCCTTATGAAAGTCATAAATTCAGCGAAATGCATGGAATCACTTGAATTTTTCGTTTCTGTTTTTTTGTTTTTACACAAAACTATACCTCAACGATCTTTTACACGCGCACCATATTAAACAAAAACAAATAAGGAAAGAATGAAAAATAACGACATGACAAAATTTATTCTTCACGATGATGTTTAAAAGATCGTCAGCATACACATTGTAATAAATTCTAAACAATTGTAAGCCATATTACTCCAATTCTATAAAATTACACGATTTTTAACTGAGCGAGTAAATAAATATGGATCTTTACTAGAATATAACTAGTATTGTACTTGCTTCTCAATTTCAGTTATGGGTTTGTGTTCTTCTCGATTACCACCTGAAACATTACCATCGACCGAAATTGATCGTTTATGTTCTGAAACTCAATTATCGCGTGAAGAGATTGAAAGTTGGTATGAACATTTTACTCATTGTTATCCAACAGGAAAATTAATAAAACCAGAATTTATTTCATATTATAAAAAATTTCGTCATGAAGATAAACTAACAAATAAAAAAGTAATTAAAAATTTATTTAATACATTTGATTTAAATGAAGATAAAAAAATGAATTTTTATGAATTTATTTTGGCTACTGTAACTATTATGGACGATTCAAAATATGAAAAATTAAGATCTATATTTA